TCACTTTAAATATTTACTCTATTATCAATAATCAATAAGTGAATTGGCCAACACGATAAGACGTGTTTCAATGAGTGAGGGACCGACACAATCACCAAAATATTATCCCTTCTCTAAGACCTCAGCCCCAGATGTAAGCAAACGATTCTGGTACACGTCTTAGTGAAGATGTCTTCAAGTTAAGAGTTATGATTAATTTAATGATATATTGATATACATATCAAACATAGGTGTAGTTGGGGGACTTTAAGGCTTAGCCTCCCCCCCCAAAAAAAAAAAAAAAATTGACCAGCCTACGCCTATGATATCATAATTATTTGCAAACAAAAATGCAAAATACACAATTCTGCGAAGTGAAAGTATTACAAATTTTAATTAAATGTTATGATAAAATACCCACCAAATAGATTTTTTATCAACTACCCACCACAGCAGCAAACGGAATGATTCCTGCTTCAACTATATTATATTATACTACGTAATTCTATAGTTGTGCCTTAATGATTTTTGTTCACTAGACTAGATATAGCTTACTCGTATAATCTAAAATACCTAGAATTCACTGCATTTTTATTTTAAAATACTTTCATTCCCGGTTTCATTATAATATGAAGATTCTATTATTTTTATTATATTATTTATATTTATAAAAAATAATATGATACCGTGTTAATCAACATTGAAACGCATTGTATTAAAATTATTATAACTCGAAAAATATACAAAAAAGTATCTATATAACTTAATTAGATAAATTTTATTTTGTATTAAAAATATTTATATTTTTTTAGTCGTGTTTGGCAAAATGCTATACTTACAGCTTATATAATTTTCTAAACAATTTCTACTCTATACTTTCTATTACACATTTAATGCACGACTGCACTATTGAAGAGTCACGTCCTAAAGTCAGGGGGTCAAGCGAATACGTCTTCAAGATGAATTCACGCAGCTTGTATATTATTTATTTTTTAATATTTTTTAGTACGGAGATCATTTTGAAGAAAGATGGGCAAGTGGAAACCACTTTGCTATGTAGTAGGTCACTGTGATGGGTATGTTAAATTTAAATTAAATGATATATTATTGTAAACAAAAAACGATACTGAACGGAAACAATCGATCAGTCTATAATATATGTATAATATCAAATTTATTTCATGTTATATTTTTTGATATTGCTATTAAAGTAGTTTACTTTACTATTCGTATAATACAGTAGGTTGAATTAATTTTAATCGAAAACATTTGATTTTAAAATGTTGTTGTGTGTATAAAATAAATTATATACCTACGTAAAAGTTTTATGATCTCACGAATAATGTTCTTGAACTTTAAAATAAAATATATTATTGAACATCGTTATTCATAGTTTAAGTGCAATATGCAATTTCGTCCAAATTTCCAAATTTGAACTTAAATATTTGTAAAAAAAAAAAATTATGCCTAATTATTTTTTAAATTTTTATGTTTCAAAATTAAATACTTATAAGAAATGTACATATTAAATTTTAGGTATCTATAAAAAAAAAAACATATTTTATAAATTTTTAACTGCAAGACAATTTGCAAATATTAGTAATTTTAGCAAAATTGCCAAAATGTATTTACCTATAAATGACAAAAAATTTAAAGCAAAAAACTAGACATTATTATGCAAATTTTATTAGATGCCAAATGAAATTCAAGTATAATTATCATTGGGAATACTTATTATTGCTATATTGCTTACTTTCAGTTTGTTATTATTTACATATTAAAATTATAATTTATTTCGTATTATCTGCTATAGTGCTTAAACTAAATAATTATATTCCAAAAATGTATAAAATAGTGGACTGTATCTTTATTTATTTATTTTTTATTTTTTTATGCATCTACTTTAACCCGTGTCTTCCCACATCGCCGAAACCTAATTTGCCGATTTCCATTTCGCCGACATCCCGCAGTTCATATTGACTACTAATTCGCCGACTTCCAATTCATATAGGTATTCCTGATTGGCCGACTCCCAATTAGCCGACATATTTGCTGCTAACTAAAATTACAAATATATCATATTATTTAATAAAAATCGTCAATAATACAGGTAATAATATATGCATAGGTTATATAATAAAAAAATGTGTACAAGTTAACATAAAATTGTAAGTTTATCATATTATTTAATAAAATTCGATGTATGTTCTATGTATATATATATATATATATAGTATTTTATTATATCTATATACTCAATTAGTGAAATTTCTTCAGATTCTAAGCTGGAAAAAATTACAAATTATATATTGTACAGACTATTGTTACCTAAAAATTATTTTTTTATAATATTTTACTTATTTTACCTATTTTTTTCATTAATTAGTCTTTCTTCAAGTTTCCGAAATTTCATTTTCAATGGTTTTGGGTTACTATTTTGTTGAGTCATAATACCGAATAAGAAATTTTGTTGCGGACTTTTTATTTAATCAATACAAATATGTTCGGCTTTGGTTGAGCTATAGATAGGTTTAAGGCTATATGCCAGCCTTCTAAATGGTTATAGCTGTCCGTGTTTTATCGATGTTAAAGTGCAGGTTCCATATTTTTCGATTAAACAAGCACACATCATTATTTAAATATGTGTCTACAAAGTATTCCATAAGTTTTGTTAAGTCTAAAAAAATAAATGCTGGATAATTATATTAGACTTTTGAAATTATTATTAAATTGTTTTCATTTATCTTCATTCGCTGGTGCTTCGGCGTGTATAATTGACCAACACTCATCTATTCCTTCGATAGACACCAATGCTAATAGACACATATTCTACGAACAGTATTTTTTACTTCATCGTTGTGTGTATAATCATTAGCGCTAGTCCTACTTTTTGTACTTTTGATTTAATTTTGAACCACTCCATTTGTCGGCAAATTGGGAATCGGCAAAGTGGGTATGAACCCTTTAACCAGGAGAGGTATATATTTTAATTTATCGTAAAAATGTCATGTATACTTAATCAAATAAAATCATATATTTTACGTCACAGGAGACCGCAGGTATGCCGCTGCGGTTCAATACAATCGAAATACAATGAACTTAACGCATTGTAAAATAATAAAATACATTTCTAAACATTTGTATAATATTGATATTGAAACTCTATACGCGTTATACGAATAGGTATATGTATAATAATACTATGATTTTTAAAATTATTTATTATGCTATTCAATTGTGCGACCATTAATTCAAATCTACGCCAACGTATAGAATATACGTCGCAAGAGCCATTATTTCGGTGACGAAAAAATAACCGTCAATTAACAGACAATAATAATTTATACGACTTTTCGAGTACGTAATATGATTTGATGTCGGCGGATAAAAATGCGAGTTTTATAAACCTATTATTGTCATTATTTATTGCTATCCGTTATTGCCGAGCCGTCTCCGTGTGCAGGCGGCGGCCGAATGTTTCGTTATGGAAAAAATAAAATTAACCCTAAATATAATATATACCCAAACAAACGGATTATTAATGGCTTCGGGCGGAATTCCGACACGAAATGATAAAGACCGACAGACCGAATTTAATAACCGATTATTTTTTTATTTATTTTTAATAATATTTTTGTCAACAGAAATACAATTTAGAAGGAACCTCAATAGTTCGGTTCAATCAGACTGCAAGTGTCGTCTGGATTACTGTGGGTTTTTCTATACTACTATAATCGACTATATTATTACAAGGTACCCGATGGACGACGAGGAATGACCGGGAAATGTTATTTCGTCAATTCATTTCTAATAAAAAATTATTTAAAAAAATGTTTAATCGATTGCGTGATGAGATGCGTACCTAATGAAGTATTGATAGGTGTTCGAGAAAAAAAAGTCAGTTCATAATAATTTAATAATTTAATTAGCCGAATCAGTGAGAAAAAATAGGTAGGTAATTATTTTTATTCCCCTCCCCCCTCTGTTAGTGCTATTCTATCGACTATTCCAATAATTCTCAACCTGGGGTATACAAGATGATCTCAAAGAACAACGTAACAAAAAAAAGTGAACTAATGGCGGAAAGTGTTGAATTTGTTTATTTGAAACGATTCAATAATAATATCATGTTATTAAAGATGAACATTTTGCGTCACAAATAAAAACTTGACCGTTAATGTATCTAATACCTACGTTACACGGAATGCTTCGTTATTTTTTATTTAAATACTTCAAAAGCAGTCACGTGAAAAAGCTTAAAGATTACAACGCAGCGGGGTACAATCTAGCAAAATAATAAACTCAGGAGTCATGGGTACGGAACGAAATATAGGTTGGGAACCGCTGGACTGTTCGGTCGAAAACAGTTTTTGAACAGCAGACCATACCCGTAAGTACCTATTACCTATTGGCTATTACCGTCGCAACTCGTAATAATATTATTGCGTATTATTGCGAGTGTGTCGGTCGGCGGAGGGCATCTCCCCCTCCCCCCCACCGCCGCCGCGTAACGAAATTCGTTGCGGACAAAACGGATGAATTAATAATTATTATCCATCATATTAAGCTCCGGGAAATCGGATAAATTAATAACGGATTGATAAACGGCAGCCGTTCCAGTCTGCCGCGTTCGCACCGGACTATCGTGGAGGTTCTGCCGTGATAATAATTAATAATAATAATAATAATAATAATAATAATAAATAATAAATAATAATAATAATAATAAAAAATAATAAATAATAATAATAATAATACGATCGCGTACGCATATTGTGTGTGCGTGTCGGTTTTACGCGTATGTGCGCGCGCGTCGCGCCCGTGTGCCGCGTATGTCGGTGTGGCGGTGTACGGCGGCGACAGGTGTAAAATCGTCGTCGTACGTAACCCGTAGGCCGGTTAACGTCGAACGCGACAGTCGACGCGCTCTCGGCTCCTCTCCACTCCGCCGCCGTATCATACAATCTCTTTGCATTCCGGTGAGGTTTGGAATGTAGGTAATAATAATTGCCATCACTACCACCGCTGCCGCCGCCGCCGCCGCTGTCATGTACACAACAACAGACTGTGTACGTACGGTAACAAATTATTATTATTATTATTATTATTATTATTATAATCGTCACTATCAGAGTATCGAGGTGAAAAATCAAATTAAATAGAACCTAGTCTACAACCGTACCGCCGCCACTCGTATACTGTATAGTACTGTTGTCACGGTAAATAATAATAATTATTAATATATCGGTTTGTTTTTTCGTCGTACGTGTACACTACTGACGAAATCGCGATACCGAAAAGTTTCTGATATTTATAATTATACGCTATCGTCGTCGTCGTCGTTCGATATTTTCCGTACGCGGTAGGCATTCGTTTCGGCGGAGAACGATCGCGTCGCGGGCGAAATACGCCGCCGCGGTGAAACGGCGCCCCTAGCGCGACAAATGCGACGAGCTCGTTCTCGAGACAGCGGACAGCCGAGAGCAGACGCCGCCGTCGTCGCGGGCCCGTTTTGCCTCGAATGATGTGGTCGAGTCGAAGGTGGCAATTGGACTACCACACAACGACGATTACGGTGTCCACTTCCAGACCATCATCGCGGTCCGTTCGCCACGGTCGGGTCATCGCACTGGAATAACTGCCCGGTCACATCGCTAATACACGCACAAGACCGGCATAAATGACCAACGATATGGCTTTCAACGAAGTGAGTGTTTCGTGTACAATCGGTATCTAAATCCCCTGTCTGCCACAGTCTGGGGGTACTCTCGGACAATCTCGTCGTCCAGATAATACCCGACACTGTCGTGTTTAGGTTTAAATCCACTAAGAGGGCAAACATATTTATGTACTCAAGTCATTTCATCTCTGAATAATATGTAATTCGATAGGTAGATACTTCTTTATCGTGTTACAATACCTAGGATCTACATATCATTTCAGATTAATTGAAATTATTCTTACTTGATTTCATATTATCAATTTATCCGCGGATCAATAGCAAGTATAGCTAATGTACAACTAATAAATGGGTAAAAACAGCTAAAACATTTCAATGTGTTTAACATTCTAATTATTAAAAATAAATATTACTTCGACCTAAAGCTATCAATACCATCATGTTGTTTTACATAAAGTATAAAAGTATAAATCAGATAGGTTAGGTGATGAGATAGGGACCTAAACGCCATATTGTATTTTTGTCAGTAATCAAGAATTAAAAATAATATCTTATTTTCCGTGTTTTATTTGGATAGATAGTAGATTTAATGCATATAAGTACTTACATAGTAATAAAAAAAAAAAAAAAATAGCAAACAAATAAATAATAGGTAAACTTATTCTGTATTTGTATCTAAAACAAATAAAATTGATTTTCTAGATATTTACTCAGATATATATGTTTAAATTAATTTTAGTTTAATGTGGTGTATTGTAAAATTATATTATCGAATTAAAAATTCACTTTAAAGTTATATAATTCCTAGATTTCATTAGAAAATAAATTAAGTCTAATCAAAGCAATTAGGTAATGACTGTAAATTATAAATATTTGAAACTAAATATTAGTTTCAGTTATATCAGCTTATCAGTATACCAAACCATACATTTTTCTAAAGAAATTGTTTGTTATATAAATTAGTACTTAGGTGTTTAATAATTATTATTGATTTCTTAGCTAGTAATGAAATATCAATACATTGAATGAATAGTAAGGGTAATGGTGAGTGTACCTCCTACCAAGGTCATTTATAGGTTTATCTAAGTTTTTTTTTTATTGGTTCAATATTAATAGAACTTATCGATTTTCCTTTTGTATAGGTACTTTTATTTAAGTATTTTTATCCTTATCCTTAAAAGGCCAAACAAGTTATAACTGACAGTAAAAACTCTTATTCAATAAAACTTTTAATAATGTATAGAAGAAAAATAATTTTTACAAAATCATTGGTCAACTATGTTGCTTACTAAACTACCTAACTCTTACACAATAGTATTTGTAATCTCTATAAGAAACATATTAATATTATCAAAAATAGTTATAAAATTCCAACTTTGTTTTTAAAACTCTAAAAACATAAAAAAAATACTGAAATATATACTTAAAATTTTATTTTTTTTAACTTTAAATATGTATTTACAATCTGTTACATTTTGTACAATAAGTAAAAATGATAAAAGATTTTATGGTTAGAATAACAGAATTAAGAAATCTTCCAATGAAAGCACAATAACAGTTAGTTAATTATAATTGTAATTATTACAATGTTTGGATATTAAACTTTAGATGTGTAGATCCCTACATTATCACTTTTTTAATCTTTTTCAGAGATTAATAGGAATATATCCTGACGCAAGACTTTTTATTAAGAAATTCGCATGGTTTTGTAAATTTAAGTAAAATTGTTTGCAAAAAAAATTTTAAAACATATTGGATAAAAGAGATGGCAAGATTATTATATAGAGATTGGTTTTAAATAAGTATTTTTGTTAAGTTAGTGGGCAGTATGAGTTAGTCAAAAATAAAAATGTTAAATAAAAAAGAAGTGGTAACTACATCTTAAGAAACCCCTGCTTCTAATCTGTGTTTTGGTGGATAAATGAATGAGCTGTACTTCACTGAAAAGAACTGATCCTCTAATTATGATTTAAGTATGTGGTAATAGCTAGACGGTAAAAGGAGTTTTAATTTAAACAAAAAATCTGTGTGCCAAACATGATCAAATGTCTAAGAGACGTCCAAGAAGACAGCGGTGTAATACTATTTTCCTATTAGGGAAAATGATATTTTATCTACTATAGGTTGAATTTTGTGCACTGTAGAATATCTGTTACAAAAATCAAATTGAGAATCAGCTAAAACTTGTTTCTTCAGCAATATTTAGAAGTCTTTTCAATAAGCTTTTTTCAAATACATTTGATAATATTATAGATCTATATGATGATAGGCAGTACCTATAATAAAAGTTTAAAATATTTAAAAAAAAACAGCTTTTTTAATCAATTTATTTTATGAAATCTTCTAAAATTACATAATTCAGTAGTTGTTTTTATGTATATTGTATATTATATGATCTGACTAGCACATTCATTTACATTGAAATTTTAGATTAGAATTTTAATGAAACAAAAATACTTGACTCAACTGTTACAATTGCCTTATTTCAAACAAGACACTTCATGATAACAGAAATATCACTGAGATTGTTGAATTAAATTTAAATATAAATTCATTGTTAAATATTATATCCTATTCGGCTGATATCCAATATCTTGATTTAGTGGTACGCGTAGACTTTTTCTATATTAATTATCAATTATATTTTATTTTTTTTATTCAAATAATGTAATTTATTAATGCACTACAGAATTTTCCGCCCTCTATATTTTTCAGTCCTATGCAATTGCCTACTCTGTCTATTGGGAAATCTACCTCTGCTACTCACCCATTTTAGTTTTGAGGTAATTGCCTAAAAAGCATGTTTAGGCGCAAAACTGCATATCATTTTGACTTTCAGTAATGAGTGGTATTAACTTTTTAACGATGACTGATCATTATTTTCTTTCTTTATTTTTCAAAATATTAACATTTTTAGACCTATGAAGTTTAATTAGTTATTTACCTATTATTATTATCAATTCTTATTTTAATACATACATAATACCATATTCAAGATTAATTGTTTTTTATTCTTAAATGTTCTTTAACCCCTAAAATATACTTTTAATGCAAAATTAAATTTTTTCTATGAATTCAATGTGTTATGAATCACAAATATTTCTTTTATATATCCATTTAACTGCTTACACTGGAAACAAATAGATAAAATCATAACAATCCGACCCTTAATCATTTGGGTGATATCTATAATCAAAAAATAATTATTTATAAATTTTTCTTTTAACATTGTTTTATATATTTTTAATTACCATTATTATGTATTATTAACATTAACTGTATGCACTATACTTGATATGAATGTTTTTTTTTACAAATTTTGACTTATGTTTTGTGTATAGAAAGTCGACCCAGAACTCATATTTACCAAACAAGAACGTATTGGTAAAGGCTCATTTGGTGAAGTTTTCAAAGGTATAGACAACCGAACACAACAAATTGTGGCCATTAAAATAATTGATCTGGAAGAAGCTGAAGATGAAATTGAAGACATCCAACAAGAAATTATGGTTTTATCTCAATGTGACAGTCCATTTGTCACCAAATATTTTGGTTCCTATTTAAAAGTAATTTTAAATACTTTTAAATTTGTTGAACAGTTATACTTAGAAATATTAACTTATTTTAGGGCACTAAGCTATGGATTATTATGGAATATCTTGGTGGTGGATCAGCTCTTGATTTAATGAAAGCTGGTAATTTTGAAGAAATGCATATTGCCATTATACTTAGAGAAGTCTTAAAAGGTCTTGATTATTTACATTGTGAACGGAAATTACACAGGGATATTAAAGGTAACTTATTAATGTCATAAAATATATTTTTTTTATTATTTATCATTCTGTTTTACAGCGGCAAATGTTTTATTAAGTGAAATTGGTGATGTTAAATTAGCTGATTTTGGTGTTGCTGGTCAATTGACAAATACAACTAGCAAACGAAATACATTTGTTGGTACACCATTTTGGATGGCACCTGAAGTTATTAAACAATCTGCATATGATTCCAAGGTTCATTATTTTTTTAAAGTGTTTGAATCAAAGATTAAACATTATATTGATTCTATAGGCGGATATTTGGTCATTAGGAATAACAGCTATAGAGTTAGCCAAAGGTGAACCTCCTAATTCTGAGCTACATCCAATGAGGGTATTATTTTTGATTCCAAAAAATAACCCTCCTCAGTTGACAGGAAATTATACTAAACAGTTTAAAGAATTTGTGGAAGCGTGTTTAAACAAAGATCCTGAAAATGTAAGCACTTTCATTACAGTTATTATTTTTCTTTGCTTCATTTTTTTTTTTTTTTTTTTTTTTTTTGTCTTGAAATGTATACAATTTTTGCTTTGACAACTTGGTCAAAACATAACATATGTTGTAAGGGTTATGAACTGTGGATATGAGTAAGGTTTATACGGTTGATAACAAATACATGTATGTATGGCAAAGATTTTAACCACTATGAACCCGGATGGTCACCCATCCGAGAACTAGTAGCTGTGGCCGTTACTTACTCCCAGTTGCATTTCGTGACTGGTAGCAGCCAATGCGCTACACCAAGTCACTAGCTATATTTTTTATACAATTAATTTTATGTGTTTTAGAGACCAACTGCAAAAGAATTATTAAAATTTCCATTTATAAGAAAAGCTAAAAAAAGTTCATATCTGGTAGATCTTATTGATCGTTATAAAAAATGGAAATCTCAACGTAATGAAGAGAGTGAGACAGAATCAGAAAGTTCAGATGTGTAATTATAAAAAAATATATTTTTAATACTTTTATTTTTGAGCTTTATAAATTATATTGTATTATTATATTTTTATTTCATTATTATAATATTTGTTTTGATTTTAGGGAAGATTCTGGTAAAAATGACAGTGATTTAGATGAACCATGGATTATGACTGTTAGAGGACCCAATTCTTTAAAGCCTTTATTAAATACTACTGCTGAATCAAGCTCTGCTTCACAATCTCAATTGTTGTCAAAGAAAACTCAACAGAACGGATCCTTGCAATCATCTAAAAAATCATCTAATCACAAATCCAATAACGTTGAACCTAATGTAATTAATAACTGTCTTGCAATATTTAATTTTGAATTAAATTAATTATTGATTCCTACTTTTGCAACAAATAATTATATTAACATACATTTTGGTGTTGTTTATGTAAATAGCTGATTGTCAGTCATATTCATGGATCTAAAAATTCAGACAAACGTAATTCAAATTCCAAAGAAATTGAAACAAAACGCAGTGTTACTCGCATGTCAGAACATACAGATAATAAGAAACAATCTGTTCATCCCAAGACTAACCAAAACCATAATAACTCGTGCTGGTCTCCATGTCTGTCTCTTTTAATTTTTCCTTTGATATCTGAGGTATGTATCTGTATGATGCAATTTAGCATTGCATCCAATACTAATTTAAAATATGTTTACAAAACAATTACTTTATCCAACCTTTTCATTTTTCATATTTCCTACTTCAGTTCTGTATCTACAAAATTTTGTTTTATTTTATTTACAGTTACAAAAGAGATATCGTTACAAAAATGATGTGTCCTATAAGATTGATGCTATTGAAGAATTGAAAAATTCTTTTGAATTGGCTGAACGTGCAAGCCCAGGAATAAGTGATCAGTTTCTCAGAGAAATGATACACAAATTATTACCATCATTATCAGAACAGAGAATATCGAACATGCTAGATCATATGATAAGGTAATGCTTCATTATAAATACAACTATTTGCTTATTTTAAAATTATTTATAAAAATATTAATATTTATTTTTCAGGGACAAACATTGATTACAGATAAACAAATTTTTTTCACGTTATTATTTCATTTTAGTATTCTCCTAAACGTCCTAGCTAATCACTTTGATCAGACAATAAATAAATAATTTATCTTTCAAATTACTTTTTCTTTTTTTTTCTTTTTATAATAATTATTATTAACTTTTGTTTATTTTTTTTTTTTTCATTTATATGTTATACTGTGAGTTTTTAAATTCTAGTTATTATTATATATATTTTTTTTTTTTTTTTGTTTATAATTTGAACTGTTGTATGATTGATGTGTCATAAATTTGTTTAATTCAAATCCTAAGATGTTTTGTAGGGTATTAGTGTTAAACTTTGTGGGGGCAACTCAAATAAATAGTATTAATTATGAACCCTCGAGAATACGAGTTTAACACACTATTATTATTATTATTATTATTATTATTATTATTAATATTATATATATATATTTTTTTTTACTATGTTAAGTAAATATATATATAAAAAAAATTGTTGAAAATTTAAAATATTAATTGAAATTATTTTTATAATGTCAAAGTAAATGAAAGAAAAAATTCTTATATATTTATTTTTACAAAACCAAATCAATAGATATTTTAATTATTGCCCACAACCAACTCTATATTGTTGTTAATTATTTCTTCATTAAATTTAAAATTTTAAGCATACAATATTATAATATAATTGTTTAACACAGTATTTAATTTATTAAAATTGAATTATCACATTTTTGTTTATTGTTTCATGTTATTTGTGTAACACTAATGAAAAACATACTATTGCAATAATGATGTTTGGTTCTAAACAAAAGTAGTACTTATTAAAAGAAGAAATTACTTCTTGTGCTTAAGAACCGTGATCAAAATTATTTTTGTTGTTTATCAATATTAAATATTATACACATTTAAACTAATTCTAAGTAGATTTACTTAGTGAGGATTTTACTCAATTCAAATATTTCAATAATTAAGATACCATCTAATTTATGTAATCAGTAAATCTAAGTTAGCATCAAAAATGTATGTTACCAAGTTTTTAGTTCTTGAAATAAATTAGAATGTGCAATATTAACAAGTAGAGTGAAAATTCTTACAACATTCATTAATGGTTGCATATATTCAATAAATACAGTCAAACTTGGTTAACTCGAAGTTGAAGGGACCGAAAAAACTCCGAGTTACCCAAATTAAATTTTTTTAAACCAGTTCAAAACATATTAATCCTATGTATTTATTATAAATAAATTAATATAATAATAAATATTTACTTTGTGTTTATTTATAAATTATGTATAAGTATTTTTAAAAAGTTATGTATGTATAAACAAAAATAAGGTTAAAAAATTATTTAAAAAAGGTATTTATTTTTGTTGAATTTCGCAGCGTTTGTAATGAATCATTCTAAACCACATATCAGTAACGATAACACTAAAGGGCAATGATCTTATTTTTGATATTAAAATATATACATAAGCACATGAGGGAAATATCACAATTTTCTAATATTAATAAAACTCAAAACTTGGAGTTATTCACGAAAATATTTGAGTTGAACAAGATTTTTTCACATAGCTTAAATAGGAAATTCTAAAGACCGGAAAAAAAGTTTGTGGTATCGACAATTACAAGTTAAAGAAGTTTGAAATAACCAAGTTTGACTGTACCAGTATAAAACAAGTCATTAGTTTTAGACAGAGCTACATATGGTTATTTTTTACTTTTTAATAAATGTTAAGTTGATTATGGGTTAGTGGTACATTGCATTTCATACAATTGCATTTTTTTTTGTATTTTTATTTTATACTCATTTAAAAACTTTTCCATCTACAATCATTGTTTAATACTTAAAACTAAATGATCAATAATTTATGTTATGGTTAAACTTTTTAGACGTTATACTAAATACCAAAATACTCACTTTATTTTGAGGAGTATCAGAACTTTTGACTCAACAAATACTTACAACACTAATTTTGTTTCGGTTCGTGTCATAATTACTTGTTTTGAAGAGACATAGAAACTTGACAAATATTAATAAAAGTAAATGAAAATGTCAAATAAAATAAAATGATATCAACTAAAGAATATTATGTATCATAAAAACAATTGAATATTGCTAGAGTTGTGAAATTGCGTGCAGTTTAATACTGAAGAAAATAAAAAATAAATATAAATATTAGTAAGTCCCAATTGCGCCCCTGTAGCCGTGTACCCATATACTACTTACCATCATTGGTTTCAAAATAGAACAGTCTGTACTAAAATCAATGTTACTACTTAAGACAAAACGATAGAGTATTATAATTTATTATATATTATATATCTGCTTGGATAGTTTTGGATATAGAGGTACTGCTAACTTTAAGGTTTCTATTTTGTGATACATAAATTGAATATCCTATGCGTTGTCTCCAATAATTTGTGACAATATGATTTCACGATTTAGCTTCAACACTACATACACCTATGGGCTATAAACAATACAAATTTGTATTTAGATGTGTACGAGTATATTTCTTATGTATAAGGTGTTTCATAAGAAACAGTTTTTAATTTAGCTAAAAATCAACTATGTTTTAAAAGAAATACATTATAAATGATATATATATATTGTTTCACTACTAGTTAAGGTTTAACATTGTGAAATACGATATTGTGCATATAACTCCCCTCTATTTGCTCGGTACATAGTGACTGTCAACGCATTACTAATCATGTTTTCACAGACTTGTTCATTGAGTTAATTAATTAAGTTAACTCATTGAATTCTTTGCTCAAAATTCAATAAAGTTCACGACCTGTACAAATAAACCACAGAACTCTGTGATATAAACTAATGATGTAATGAAACCCTAAAGGAAAAAGTCACGTAGAGTAAATCACACTTTAGTGGCCACTGCTGATCGCCACAGAAGGAAATGAGTCAATTGTCAAATTTTTCAAAGATCAAGTGTAACAGGGGGCATCGTTTTGCTGGAACCACATTTCTTCAGTGTCCGTGTCATCCAGAAAAGGCCAAGGAAAATCGAAAATCATGTTTCAAATAACATTTCCATTCACTGTTTCTGCATTTCCATGTTCAGCTCAAAAAACTTCAACCCTCGCCTTCCAAAATCCATACTAAATGGTTACTCACTGTATTTATAATAACTTATAAGAAATACATTTTATTTATTGATCTAATAATGTTTTCCATTTTAATGATGTCTTTTCGAGTTGTGTTTTTAGATAAATCACACGGATAGGTTTAATACTGTAACGTAATGAATAAAAATATTATTGTTTTTTATATGATATAAAACGAACGAATTCGGAATTTTCAATTCTCAATTTAAATAAAATACAATTTTACAGATAGCAGTTAGTGGGCAGTGAATGTGATCTTACCAGTAACCATCAACAGATGATCCAACATTCTAGTGTGCTATCACTGCTATCATATTGTTTGTGATCCGTTTTTATTTTAAAGTGATATCAACTGTTATTTTAGTTTTTACGAGTTATCATAAAAATAATATTATTCTGTGGTTGCGGTAGAACCTTGTATAGACGGTAGTTACAAATCTGAAATCTTAATTCTTTGTTGTGTATTCGTTGCGCGGTTATCCATATAACCGTGAAATGTGAATCGTGAATCTCGTAGTGTTACTCTATCCTATGATTTAAGTCATTTGAAACGGTAGGTGTTCAAATTACTGGATTTGTGATTTATGTACTGCGTTCAGCGTTTTACTGTTTTCTGATGGTGTTGCTAAACCCAGGTATTAACAATGTCATTAATCGTTATTATTATTATTATTATGTATTAAATCCAAGAAAATAAACTAATATACATTTTTTTAAATTTTTGCAGATTTTGTCTATTTTTGACATTTGAAACCATATGACTTGTTTTAAACAATACCTTTTTTCGGCAGTTCTAAATTTCTCTAGATATGTTTAATCTGACGGGATACAGGTAAATTATGATTATAACACTATAACTAGATTGAAGTCCCACATTATATTTTACATGACATCAAATCAATTTATTTTCAAAAGAAATAATTAAAACATTTTTGTTATTTTCAATTATCATGCTTATACAGTGATATTAAAATGGTTTTAAATCTAATAACACATATTGTATTACATAATTGTTATATAATCATACCTAACTGTAACTGTGGTTGATATATTTACGAGTAAAAAAAAAATAAAATAGATATTCTGTTGATTTCAAACCATTTTAATGTTACCACATAAACATAACAATTTATGCAGACATATGATGTATGCTATGTCTATGCCATACACTTATAAAAACATTTATAAGTCTATCATCTATGACCAATTTATATGCAATATACAATATTTTATTAATCAAAATATCGTGATTTTTCTATAGACCTTATACTAAGGTATACTAGTATAAGATCTATGGATTCTTCTGAACTATATTATCTATTTGAGTCACAGATTTATATAACTCTGTATCAAATAACTGTATACGAGTAATTCCAAGTGGTTAGTTTCTATGCACGATGGTAGCATTATAAATGACAAAGGCATACCTAGTGTTGTGTCAAGGTGTACCAAGAGCAATCTAACCAACTAACCAAACCACTTAACTTTCATTTTGCTAAGATTTACACAGCAATTTTTTAGGTACAACTAATTGTCAGAAATAAAATTTTACAAAAATTGATTTATCTGTTAAAACTAAATAAAAATAGTAATCTTTCGAGGTTACCCCTATACTAAGAGACAGAGTATTTATAGAATAAATCTATGATTGAAAAATATCTATATTGAATAACAAGATATATTTTTTAAGATAATTATTTGTTTATTTACCGTTATGATATATATTTTTATGGTTCTGTTTTTAGATCTATGTCAAATACATTGATCAATTGGATATGTATATCATGTATTAGTTCTTCATTAACATTATTATGGTTACATTATAAAAGGAAAAGAAATAAAAGCTTTACCAAAGTACTGTTTTATGATCCTACTATCAAATCAACTGATTGCAATTGTTTTCGCTCATTTAATATCGACTGTTTATCTCCAAATTGTTCAAGCTTTAAAACCAAAGAAATCATTTTTTGCTTACAAAGAGCAAGAAAGTCAATGGATATTTGTGTATTTTCTATATCTAATAAACCCATTGCAAATGAGATTGTTAATGCCCATAAACGAGGAATATTGGTAAGGATTATAGTTTGTAATTGCATTTTAGTCATTTCAAATGAAATTAAAATGTTTATGAGAGCTGGAATTACATTAAAATATCAAGAAAACTATACAAATAGCTATATGCATCATAAATTTGCTATTATTGACTCTACGTGGTTAATTCATGGTTCCATGAATTGGACACATCAAGCTACTCATGACAATTGGGAAAGTATCATGATAACAGATCTACAAAGTTTAATAGTTCCATTTTCCATAGGTTTTGAAAAAACATGGCAAAAAACTATTTTGATTCCACCTAAAATACGTGATTTAACTAAAAATTAGATCTTAATAAAACATATTTTTATAACTAATGTATTAATTAAGTTATGTTTTATTTTTTTTTTTTTTTAATTTTGTATTCCTATTTAAAATGTTATACTATCAATTTTAAACAAAGCAGTTTTGACATATAAATATTTCAAGTCAAATTATACATTGTAGAAACTTTATATGAAATGTGTATCAAGTTTTAATAAAATAAATAAGACAAAAAATTATATTGATGTTTATTATATTATATTGTTTATAAATTATAAAGTATTATTGACTATTAGATCATACTGTAATAGTGTTTCATAGCGTTTGTTTGATATCATTTTAGTATTTATATATTTAACGTGTATTTTCATTTATTCATTTTGTATTAACACTAAGTCCATCTAAATGGATAATACTATTTTTGATTACTTAACAACATTTTTAATAATAATCCTTAGACCTGTAGGGTATTTATGTACTGAGTGAAATTGATTTCATCATTTGCTCTGTGTATTATAAGCCGTTAAAATTTGTTGTATTAACATTTTGTTTCAGTATTCGTTAAATTATACTCAATTTAACTATGTGTCATATACTCATAACTAATATTAACATAAAAATGTTTTCATGATCCCGTGTTAGGTATTTATCTGTCGTTGATACACCTATCAGATATAAATACAATTTAAATAATTATTAGCATTTACAGTGTAATATTAATGTTCTAAGCACTAATTTTTTTAAATTATTTAAAGAATATTTTTATAATATATATATATGTGTATATCAAATAATTAATATGGATACCTAATTAATTAAAAAAAAAATAATAGGTTGCTTATTAAACTAAATAAATTATATTAATACAATTACAATATTATAATACTAGATTATTATCCAAATTACTAATAATAATGATAGATAATATATTGGAACATAAAATGGACTTTAAATGATCATCACAAAAACTTAAAATATCTAAAAAATTATTAAATTGAGTACTTCAACTCATTTGAATATATTACTTAAATTAACAATGAGGGAAAGATGAAAAATTGGTGTTACCATTATATTTATGAAACCAAGTGAAAAAAATTATTTGGCAGAATAGAAATAAAATTGACAACATTAACATGGAAAATAGCTAAGTATATTTTTATTAATCCTTATAGCTCAGAAGATAAAATTGAAATGCCTAGAAAAAAATGTATATAAACAAACTAAAATATAAGATAAAATATTAACATTATTATGTATTAAATGTACTATCAGAATGCAATAGAATAAAAGTATAAAAATACAAATATAACAGAAAAATAAATTATTTAAAGTATTATACCTGATGAAATATTTTGGAAAATTAAATTTAAAGATGAAGGTATGGTAGATATAATTGCGCATTATCTACAAAATTCAAATATCTGAGATTTAAAGACGATAATGGTGAGTTAACTCCTAAACTCATTACTCAAGTCAAACAGTTTTAAATGTCATGATAATTTCATTAATTTAAGTTCACATTCATCACTCAATATGATTGTGAACTTATCTAGATAACTTAAGCTATTAAATAGTACATTTAATGTAGATTCATAGACTCGAATACGAGAAAATTCTTATGAATAAGTCTTTGATTTGCTCACACGTCAGACTCGTTCCATGATCTTTCTTTTGAAAAATCTAATCGAAATCTATAAGCGTGTTTATAAAACAATGACCAACACTTTGTCGGTGAAATGTAAATTGTAATAAACCAGTGACCGAGTCGACAAAATAAAAATCAGTACAACCATTTATGCATTCCATAGTCCAAATTCATAGATTAAAACAAACGGTAAGACGGCGTCGTAGGGTACTTAGATCTACAAGTGACAACATTTTGTTATGGTTACATATAAATCTTAACGACTAATGCTGTAGAAATCGAAGAAACAAGAATCTCAAGAGACACAGGATTTAATAAAATACTAACGTTATCAACGCGGCGTGCCAGGGTTATCGTTGATCTTGTAAACATAGCATAATATACAGTGTGATAAAACAGTTAACACCTTTGTGCACAGGTATAGGGTATCCGGTATCACGTATTATCTGATTTACGCATCGTAACGACGTGCTCTCATTGGACGCGACATCGGTGCGAGTGGGCGGTCAACCGTCTTTATCATTAAGTCTCTACCGACACGATAATGTCGTTCGGTAAGACTATTTATTATTATTATTATTACTATTGCATAATATTCGATATTTGTTATTAATTATTATTCAATAACACTGTTACGTGAGTTACGTCGTTTATGGTCTCCCCAGTAGTCTCGTCTGCTGTAATACTCCAGAGTCCAGACGCCGGCGCAACATTTTGCTCCGCTCCGCTGTAAAATCGCGTCGTGATTTATTCTCGTCACGTAACGTTGGCGGTGTACATCTCTTCTATTCTGGCGATCCCGTCGAACGATACAACACTAATTACAGTATAATTTTCTACAACGTTAACGGCGTATTGGCGATCAGACTTGCGAATAACCTCGAATTTACTGGCGCGCCCGCCCGTTCTTAATCTAATCTTTCACCTCGTGCGAGTGTCTGGAATACTCATCCGCGCCACTCGACCATCCATCCCGATTCTCGTTCGTCCCTCGTTCTCGGCGACTACCATGGCCGCTTTCAGTACCGTGTTCGCGGTCGCCATCTGCAGTTTCGCATTGTTCGGTTCGACTTTCGTATCGTCCGACAGCGGTAGCAGTTCGTCGAAGAATGGACACATTAGTAGTGGTAAAGGACCGATCGAAGGTCAACAGACGCTCAAGTTCCTGTACTGGTGAGTGTGCAAAACCAATTGCTGTTTATTTAAGCCAACTAATTTTTCCTTGGCCTTGAATTTTGTTTTTTGTTTTTTTTTTTAATTATAAATCTTATGCTGCTTATGCATTTTTTTCTTTCATTTTACCACCTATTAAATGTTAAAGTTAACTATTGTTGTGAGCACTGTGGGGTACACTCGCGCTTATAATGATTCAATGACGTAGCACGTTTATTAGTCGAGCCAAGCTCAAGACGTAAATAAGTTTAAAAGATATGAAATGTGTAAATACAAATTTTTTTTCCTTAGTTTTATATTGGCGTATACTTATTTTATATGTACACAACTTACCAATTTGTGGTATTTAATCACAAATTTTTATTCACTGAGTTACATACATCATCTATGTACATTTGCAAAGTTAGTATTTAGGTACTTACTATTATTTTCCAGATTTTTGTTCAATAAATTCTTAATAAAAAAAAAAAGTGACATCTGGTTTGTTGCTATACATAGTATACATTGATAAACTAATACAAAAGTATTTTATTCTTACATTATTATGTTAATATGTACCTACCAATGTACTGTTTACTTTATTGTTTTTAAAAAAATATTAATTTTTAATATATTGCAATTTTTCAAACTCTACCTTTCTAACTTTTATTTTTGAATATTAAATAATTTACTTTAGTAGGTCTTATCTTATGGTTCTTACATTAAATAGATTGTATATTGATAATTTTTAAGACGTTCAATTTAGGTTTTTTCTAAGTATGTATCACTGTACTCCTGTAGTGGAAGAGAAATATAAATAAGAGTGCTTTATACGTAAACTTAATCAAATCACAATTGTGAAACTTACTTGTAAATTATACATTATGTGCTCATTTGTATGCACTTTTTATCAATTCTACCGATAAATCCATTTGTATAAGACTTCTGAAAACTGGTTTAAATTCTTTATTAGGTCTATTTTTGACCTATCTGGCCACATTTTAAGATTTCTTAATTAAAATAATCTAAGTTTATAGGGATTAAGCAACAAAGTTTGGTAAGGTAGCCTTGATCTATTTCTATTAGACATATCAATAAACAGACATAAACAATTCATGTAAGTTTTCTAAAGTATAATCGCATGACTAGGTCCAACGATATGATTAATAAAGATTGGTACATTTTTATCGAAATAACTGACCATTTGTAACAATCCCTTTACTTTGATTCAATAGTTATTAAGTATTTTATTAATTTTATTCATATTTTTTAGTTATTCGTGTGGATATCAAAAAGCATTTGATCAATATTCAAGTATTCTTAGTGAAAAATACCCTAATCTTAACATTGAAGGAGCAAATTATGACCCTTCTATGGCACATTTACTAGCAGCAAAAATATTGGTATATAGATTTTTATAATAATAATATTGTGGAACAAAAATAATTTAAAAATATGATTTATTTTAGAGCTTAGCGAAAATGGTGATTATAATTGCCATAGGATCTGGAATCAACTTATTTGAATATATTGGAAAACAGCAACCAAACTGGTGGATCTGGTGTACATCAAACAAAATCTATGCTTGTCTTGTGGTATTTTTTGGTTCAAATATGTTTGAAGGAATGCTTATTTCAACTGGTGCATTTGAGTTGTATCTTAATGGTAAGCATGAAAAAATTTATCTAACAGGACTGTTATATACTATTGATTTATTCATTTACAGATATTCCTGTTTGGTCAAAATTAGAAACTGGAAGAATTCCTCAGCCTGCTGAATTATTACAAATTATTGATAACTATTTATTGTTTGAAAGCCCCTATCCTGTATAAGTATTTGAAAACATTTATTTACTTGAAAAATAATTTCTTTTTTAATCAAGTAATATTTTTTTTATAACTCAATGATATTTATCATATTATTTTATTAAATGCTTTAGTGATTATATCATTAGTAAAAAAAAAAAAAACATGATTCATATTTTCCTTTCGCTCTTAGTAAATTAGGGATGGAAAACCAAGTCTCAATACCTGTTTAAAAACACTAATAATATAATTTACTATTTTGGTTTCTATCAGTAAAAATAAAATATAAATAAATTATTCGTTCACATACATCTGTTTCAAATTTGTATATTATTAATTCATATAATATTAACATACATAAATGTAAATTTTTTTAAGTATATTTTAAATTATGCCCATATTATAAATAAAATCATAAATTTTAATTTCTTATACAAACTACACTTGTTCAGGCATTTTCAAAATTGATTATGTTGCCAAATTTCTCATTCATTAGAATTAACATTTTCTATAAAATACAAATTATGATTGGTATTCAGTTCACCATCCCTGTAGCTCTGTAGTGTAGTAGACCATTAACGGCTTTAATATACATTCCATTACATTATTTAAGTGAACAGTTTTATACTTTTTGAACTGATAAAATACATATTAACAAAATGTATCATGATATGTAAATGTTACATTTTTTCATTTTATTTTATTATTATAATAAAAAAATATGAACTCATGGTTATTATTGTATTACAAATTAGAGGTTATAAGTAACATTTTTAATTTGAGTTTTAATTCTAACTTCTATTTTTCAACCTTAAACCAACAATGCCTTGTTGTTAATTAAATATAATTTCATAATTGATTAATGATGACTTAACTGTTAAAATCCGAATTTTAAAGTAAAAATAATTTTATTTTTCTTTCAAAACATATTAAAATTGTGTTTTTAATAAATGAGTGTTAATAAATACTAAATTAAACTCATTTTTTTATACTTAATAATATTAAATCTACAAAAAAATAAATTATATTTAAATCAGCTTTTAAAAATTTTTCCTGGTTTGAATTAAGTTAACCAATATGAAACATAATTGAATTAAAAGTATAAAATATTTAACACAAATATAAGCAACTTGTTTATTTTAATAGAGTAAAATTCTGTCGGAAATGTTATTATCAATCTTATATTTAAAAGAAAAACTATTGACATCAAATCCAAAAACTTATATTTTGATAAGCTATTGAAATGTATTAACTATACCTTATAGTGTTAATTATTACTATATATTGTATAAGAAATTACTTATTAAAACAGTAAAAATATATTTTACATTTATTTGAACAAACCATGAAAAGATCGATAAATTAACACTACTGATTGACTTTTACCATTTGTTAATTTGTTTGCCATTTAGTAACAATCTTTGTTTTTGTTACATGTTGTAATTTATTTAATCTCAATATTCTTAAAATAAATTTTAAGATTTGTTTTTAGATTTCATGTGCAAATATTTGAATAAATATATAAACCAAAGAATTTCTTGTGTATTTTATTTAAAATAAAATTTAATAAACATTACAAAAATTAAAGATATGTTTACGATATGTCTATTAGTTGAGATACGCAGTGAAAACTATAAAGAATGCGTAAATGTAACAATTATATGGTTTCCTATACCAACATTAAATGGCAAAGTATACGGGAAGTACGATTTGTATTCATTATGTAAGTTGACTGTGCAAAAACTGTAATTTAAGCAAAGTTTAAAAAATATTGGTAATGGTTAACCAATTTAACCAACAGAGGTGTCTCAGCACGAGTTGGTACTAATAAATTAAAAAACGTTAAATTGTTATTTATCATTGATAAACGTCAAACGATATCTAACCAAAAGATCTGACCGTCAAAATGTTTCGATCATACCATGTTGTTGACATCGCGTAAAACACTCATATGCTATAATAAAATATGTGAAAAATGAACGATGACAGTTCGACTAATGCTTAAACATTATTAATTATTAGATGTACGTCTTGTTTAATTGTAATGTATCAATAATAATTAATAGGTCATTGAACAAATACATGAAATACATAACTAGTCAATATTTTCAGTCATTACTCATTGGTTTCACATTTCATAACATTTTAGTATTTTACAAGAATTTTGGGCACGACATAATATAATGTTTATAATGATAACATATTTTTACGTATAATTGATAAGGACGGCGGCAGTCGTACCATACGAATATAACGCGCTCGAACGATTTTTTTATCCGTCGTGGCGCAAGTCTTATCGCCATCATACGTTGTTTCTTATCAGACGCAACTTGCAGTTTTTCTCAACTCTCAGTACAGTAGCGTAGCGTACCACCTACGACAATTGTTTCGTCTTTGTACGTGCCGAGTCTTAGACCTTTTTTTTTTTTCGCTCGCCCCTCGTCCCTAGCTGCCGAACGAACTCATCCGCCAACGCTATGTGGAGTCCCACGCACGTACAGGTCACAGGTAAGCGCTGTCGCAGAACGAAAAAATGCCCATCGACTACAATAATGGTAATGAGATTAATGCCACCGTGTTTCGTTTACAGTTCAGAGGACCCGGGGTTTAAACTTCAAGAACAAAAACGGTAAGAAACTAATTATTTGTTGATGACTCATAAACACTTACGACCGTTTTAATCCATTCGTTTCTGAAATCCTCAATCTAAACAATTGCTTATTGTATCGGTGTATGGAGCATACCATCAGACAAAACAATTTCATTCTGATCGAATACACTCTCTCTCAATCATAGTGTCAAATAATAAGAGCGTGTTTTTTACTAGCAAAAATAATAAACCCACACACACATATATATATACACTGATTTATATTAGTTTTTTCCTATGTTTTCCTTCGCTCTAAACGCTTAGTGAGTCATAATGATATGGTTCACTTAGTAATTATTAGTTAAGTATTCTCAGAAACACTATCAGACCACTTAGTATTTATTTCTTTTTGGGTACATGTGAGGTCAGTGATTAGGTCACATAGAAATTGGTAGCAGCTATTAAGTTTCATTACGAAGATAATGGTTTATCATTTTAATTCAATTTTAAGTAGGTTAAGTAATTAAAATAGTTTTAGAAGCAGTATTAACAATTTTGTGTTTAACAAGCTTAAACAATCATAAAAATATTAGAAAACTGAAATGATATTTTATTTTCAATTAAAATTTTAGTTGATAAATTTAAAAATTGGATTTGATGAATACAAACTCTTTATTATCTTGATTTAATTTTTTACACAACACTAATATATCAATTTCATTTATAACAAATAGATACATATTCTATTTCAGTAATTTCAGGTGTTTCTCAAGGTTATTATAACATTACTTAACTCTTATTAACCTGTCGTTGGTGACGTTATTTTTATAACACTGTTAGTGATGTGTTAACGAAATGCTCACCTATTAAAATACACACATGAGCTTACAAATTTATATATTCCGGTATTTATAATTATCAATATTGAACTGCTAAAGCATAATAATAAAACAATATAATGAGATAATAATAAAATAATATAATAATATAATAATAAAATAACTAGATAATATGGTAATGCGATCAGTGACGTGCGAGCACAACGACAACGATAACATATTATACGTTATTATTACATGTACGGCAACATTGGACTTCAATAACTTTGTTAGTTTATTTATAACATTTAATGTTTTTCCGTATTTATTTTCGTGAATAACTCAATGAAGCATTTATATAATATTGTCAAAATTGAATGAATTATAAACCAATGGTTCTAAAAATACTAAATGTGTGAGCAAAATACTCATAGCGTCACCAACGATGGGTTAAATGATAGGTAATATTTTTCTATGAATCATAATATATGTGTTCTATTATTTACTGATTATGTAAAGATTTATTTTGAATGTATTAAAATTTTAAGGATTTCAAACTTCTACAAAATTATATTCCGTAATGTTCCTCATTCAAATATAAGATATTATATTATCTTCATAAAAAAATAAAAGTGTAGTATTTCTTTAAATTATAGTTTTAACATTTATAATTTATATTGATCCTATCATTTTAAGGGTCTAGGAAAAATCTTTTATTTAATTTCCATTTTTTTTTTCAATGAATAAAAAAGCACTATCTTTATTTGTTACAAATCAGATAAAACATAATACTTCCAGTTATAAAAAATCATTTATATTAAAAAAAATTTTTATATCAATTATTTGTTCCCAAATAGAATTTTCTCAGATTATATAAAAAAAACCTACAATATACCATACTATACCTAAATTGAAAAACTTGAAAATAAAATTCTTTGTTTTATTTGTTTCATAATAAATTTTAACATGTTAACCACCATATGACTACTGGTGGTCATCTGTAATTCTCAAATTTTATACATTTGTGACCGTTGACATTTATAATTCATCATTGCTACCATGCCACATGACCGCTGGCGACCATAAATTGATTTAGTTTTATATTATTAACTTTTCTATGGCGCTACAATAATTCACCAAAATAAAGATGAGTAGGTCCCACTAAAGATCAAATAGCAGGAATTATTAAAAAATTTTTGATATAGGTACCTATAATATATTTTTTTTTCTCAATTTTTTTAAATATTTAATGTATACAATTTTGGAAAACATTGAATAATATTTTTGACGTGTAACAATTACTTATTGAATAACCACTGGCGATTAACGTGTTAATAGATTATCTCACAAGTTATGTTGATATATTAACATTTAAATTCTTTTAAAGAAAAATATAATAGTTATATAAAACTCTTATGCATAAAATACTTAATAATGTTTTCAATGACACATTTCTACTTGGTCAAAAATCTAAGAAATTAACATAATACCAAAAATAAAAACCTATTTTAAATACTATAGTTTTTTTTAAATGTATAGGTTTTGGCAATCATGCTTTCTGGTAAATATTCTCTTATATCTCTTGGTAGTATATTGATACAATTTATGTATCTAAAATATTTTTCCTTGATATATATTATTTTATTTAGTTGCTTAACATTAATTGTATTATATTTTCTTAGTTTATTTTATGTACCTTTATAAACAATTAATTGGATTCTAACATAAATTTTGTTTATATATTTTTAATATCATTTTGTATTCAATTTTTTTACTAAAGAAAAAAAACATTTAAATTATGTATTGAAATTATTGTCTAATATAGGTATTTCAAACTGAGAGTATCAAGTGGGCTAAGTATATAATGATTAGCTTACAATGCGGGTTTCACATAAAAATTTAATTAAAAAAAAGTAAATATATTTTATTCAAAATTTTCAATTTTATTCTTAATGTTTACGAACACAGAAGATAGGTACAACTAAATTAAAAAAGGTTAACTTATCAGAAGATGAGACAGTATAATAATGTATACCAAAATAAACCATTCTCTAAGAATCCAATATAGTTATGACTTGGCATTAATATTTTATTATTATTTTGTTTTTGTCCATTAATATTAGTAGCCAAGGGCCTCAAAAAAAATTAACTGAGAGTCACATGCAGCCTATGGGTCACGCGTTTGACATGCCTGGTCTAATATAACAAAAATTAAATAATTAGATATTTAATTTTGACCATTAGAATATTAGGCATTAGTTACTGATTACTTAATTTTAACAAAATATTAGTTAATTATCTTATATGTATATATTTGAGTAAGTGAGTGTGTTTATATACTTATGTAAATAAATAGTCTTTAATAAAAATGAATCAACAATTTCCAATAATAAAATTGTTAAATACTAATTTACATGTATTATTTTAATTTTCTACACGTTTATTACATATTATGAGTATATTAATCTTAGTTTATAAGTATACTTAGCATATAATAATATACATTATACACAACTAATTATTAAATCTAATCTTGAATGGTATTTTACTTTAGCCAAAAATGATTTATTTGTCACCATCGGTTTGGGGAAAGAAAAGTATCAAACATCGCCAAAAGAAAAAGCAATAGATACCGATTTAACAGAATGGCATGAAGTTTGTGAATTGTAAGTTATTTAAAAAGTACACAACTAATGTAATGTAAAAACTTATCTCAAATGATTTTTACAGACAAATTCCTAAACAAGGAAATACCGCTGAATTAGTATTAAGCGTACTACATCGTAATTTTTTGGGATTAGACCAATTTTTGGGTCAAACTACTATACCTTTGGCAGATATTGATGTTTACGAACGTCCAAAAAGCAAGTATGTTTACACTTTAATCAAAATAATTAACAAAGTTGTGTATAGTAAAGATTTTATTTAGAGTATTTAAAATCTAGAACAATACAATTTGTGTATTATTAATAGATAACTGTAGCTAGAGTTGATACGTCAAATTTTACCTAAAATTAAAGACAATTTCCTCTTTTATTAAATAAAAAAAAAACTTGGACCTATAATGTAACTTATTTTGGTTTATAATAATTAATAATTGATAAGTAATAATCAGAAAATCATTAAATTTCAATCTCTGTTTTGTTTTAAATTTAGATGGTATCCTCTAAAAAGCAAAAATGGCCAAGAAAACAAAGAACGTGGTGAATTGCAGGTCAAAATAGCATTCACAGTTAAATCTGGAAGTTTACGGGATCTTAGCAAGAAAGAAAAACACAGATTATCTGTAGGGCAATTATCCCACACAGCTTCTAATATTAGTAAGTGTATATCAGTATCAATAAATAAAATCTTATAAACTATTTTGTGTATTTTTTAGGTGGTAGTTTGATGAGCATTAGTAGCGTTGATAAAAAATCTTTTAAGAAACTTGCTAAAACAATAAGTAATTATTTGTTTAAATTTAATTATTGTTGAATTAATATGTTTTTATCAAACGTGATCAATATCAAATATATTTTAAATTTCAGCGGGCAAAATTAAAAGAGAAAAAAAAATTCAAGAAATATCATCCTCCAGTATTAATTTAAGTGTAGAAAATCCAAACAAAGTAAATTCTTCACAAGCAGGATATGATGCCGATCCAGGTGTTATCAGCGATGATGATGATTTTGCAGTAATTATAACAATTAAAAAGTCTATCTGTAACTTATAGATTGTTTATTAACATACCTATGATTTCCTATCTTTTCAGCTTGAAGATTTATCACACAAAGGGTCAGTTTGTTCTTTAGAGACATCTGGTCAATCCGATCGCAGAGGAATGAATAGTTCACCCATTAGCGGGTTAACATTGCATATGCATGGATCAGTTGAAAGTGTTAGTAATTCAGATACCATGAACAAATCTCCAGTGATGAGTCATTCGCCAGTTTCTCAAACACAAGATGAATGGCAAAGAAAACTATACAAAAATAAGGGTATACAATTAATTAAAAATTTAAATTGAGAACATGTTGTTAAAATATTATTTTTCAGATAATAACACATTAAAACTTTCTGACACTCTCAAGTCAAAATTGAAAGACAATGTAGACCTTCCAATCAATCATGATAAAACTAGAGATAAAAGTCCAACACCATCACTCAAAAATAGTCCTAAAGTTCAAAAGAAGCACCCTATTTCTCCACTTGATGACCGCTCTTTGAACAATAAGGAATCCAACCATGAAAATGAGACATTACCAAGTAATAAAATCAGTATAAAAATTATATTTAAGATAAAAGTTACTTAAATATATATTCCCTAATTTGTATAGTAATTGTATCACATCTTTTTCGTAACACTTTATAGAAAGCAAGTCGGCATTGTCCTCGTGGAACAAAGCATATGAACGCATCATCATTGGCAAGGAAAAAGATTCCAGTCACCATCAAAATTCACACTCAAAACACTCACCAGATGTGCTTCAAAAGTTTGAAGGCAAATCCAGAGACGTATGTATATTATAATAATAATTTTAATAAAAAAAACTCTAAATGTATAGATACACTAATCATTAGGTGATTTTATTCAATTATATACACACTTATGATGTGCATGTAAATACGTCTTCTTATCAGTGGATAAATGAATAATTATTAGAGTGTGGGTTGACTGTGACCGAGCTAGAGGGAAGATCTTAAGTGTGATTTGATTCAGACCCATTCCCCTCCACAAGTTCAAAGAGATTGATGTAACCGCTTTTCTCTATTTATTATTGTATATAATTGATATTCAAATGATTTCCCATTATGCATTCTACCATAATTTTATGCACTACCTAACTATATATTGTGCAAGTGTAGTAAGTTGTCTTCAAATATTTTATATTCTACTATAGCTCAGATATTTGTATCATTATAATTATCATATTATTAATTATTTTAGATTATAATATCATACTAATATTTTTAATTGTTAATTTCATGTAAAATCACTGAATTTTATTATTTGTAATGAAGACACTAGATCAATATGAGGCAAACATCTTTGAATTGTTTCATATTTCTAATATTTTATATAGTGTGTGCTGTGTATGTTTCGTATACAATATGGATTTGTGTGCCCCAAAAATGTTGTACGAGATGAAGTGTGCTAAATTGTTAAAAAAGTTGAAAACCACTGCATTAAACTGTAGACTACTTGTTAAATGCTCATATTTACTTATATACAGATATATTTAAATCTGATTTTTTAATAATTTTAGAATGAACCTATTACAAAAATGATAGGAAGTAATATGTTTTATGATTTGATATATCGTTATATAGGTTTTATTAATTCAATTAAAAAAAAAAAATTCAAAGTGCTAATATACTTAATTACTGACTCTCAAAAGCTAAAAAACGTGTTTTATTGTTTTCCTAGGTGAATAGTAGTATAAACTATTTTCCACGTAAAAATGTTAAAACACCATATCAATGATTTTAAATATTCATACAAAAAGGTTTAAAAATTATTATTTTATATCTTATAAAAATGGCAGAAGAACTTAACCCCCTTCCCAGTTAATACAATTTTTTATCAACCCTAAGCAATCACTGAAATACTGACTGATGGATTTACATCACAGCCCTATATAGGTTCATAAATTCTATTTATGGCTGTGTTTCATTTTGTTTTTTGTCCGATAACATTTTTATAATAGTTTATTAGGCAACCCTACTATCTTAAATAATGGTCATGCGTGAAGTGAAACAGAAAGAGAAAATAAATAGTGCTATGAAATCCTCTTGAAAAGAACTTAGAAGTTCCAACCAAAGAGCTAATACTTGTTTATGTCCATAAATGTCTTCAAACAAAGTTTTCTAATAAAATTTAAATATGTTTTTAGGACTTGATCGAAATGGTGATTCAGTTGCAATCCAGTTTGCGCGATGAGAACAAACAGAGAATCGAACTAGAAGAATACTTGGATAAGCTACTGTTGCGCGTCATGGAAACTTCACCTAAAATCTTGCAAACGCCTTACATTTGCTACAAGCACAGAGCATAGTTTTATTATTTTATCAAACAGTAGTGACCGGACCGAAAATGTATTATTTTTTTTTTATTATTGTATTAAAAAATTGTTATAATGAGATGATTGTTAGGCTTGCTAATCAGTTGGTGGTACGCCCGATTATATTATTTAATAATGACAAGCCTACATAATATATTTTTCAACTATTACAAATAGTATTATTGTTAACATTTCTTGTTGAATTGACACATATATATTTTTATATTTAAACCCTTAATAATATTTTTTTAACTGTATTTTATTTTTGAGATTTACAGTATCAAAAGTCAAAATGATGTAGCCATATAAATGTTAATTTCAGTTACAATGTTATTTTTATTAGACAAATAACATAGATGTGTAAAAGCAGTTGTATGGTTTATTTATTTATTTTTTTTTTTTAATTTGTTATCTCACAGTTAATTTATTTAAAACAGTTTTTAATCCTTTATAATATTGTAATAATTTATTATTACATCATTTTATGCCATTTTAATAGAAAACATAAATAAAACACAGAGTAACAAAGTTTTAAATTATTTTTGACGTGAACTTGTTAAGTCGATTTGTTTAGATGGCATATTATATATATATATATATATTTTTAATGATTGAAACCGAATTTGCTGCCTTTTGTGTAAAACAATTTTTTTATTACTATTATTTAAGTGTAACCTAATGTTGTGATTTTTATATGTGCTATTTTTTGTAAAAGAATTACCTAACTGTCCTTTGTAACTAACAATAATTTTATAATTTTATAACATTACTCGTTGAATGCACAATGCACATATTGTCATCCGTACATGGCTGTTTTACTATACATGAAATAATGTAATAATTTTAGTTTTGTTATTAATTATGTTATCCGTTTCTAATAATACTAACATTATGTATCGTATCAAGGTGTTATAATGACATTTTAAATTATAGGATTTAGTTAAGTATTTTTAATTATTATGTTAATAAGCAAAAAGCAAAGTATATATAATTTTAACCTAGATCTTAGAACAGAAAAAACTAGATTGCCAGTAATGTTTAATTTAAATATTTGAGTTAACTCATAAATATTTGTTTTTTAGATTTTTTTATCTTTGGTAAAAACATTTTTTTTTTTTTTTTGTCCAATTCCTTTTAGAAACTAAATGCTGGATTAAAACTTGTGATAAAAATGAATTATATCTAAGAGATATTTTAAATTATTGTTAAAAATATTCTTTATTCATTAGGTTGAAATTATCAAAATATAATCATATCACTTATAGTCTATTCGGAATGAGATTGTACCTCGGCAACGACCAGTTTTCATTCGCGACGGTCAGATGCCACCACAAAAGCTCGTAAGGCTAGCGCTGTGGAACAAAGCCACGCCCATGCGCTAAAATCTGCCGCCGAGGTACGATCTCATTCCGAATAGACTATAGTGCTGATTATATGATACTGTATTTTATAAGTTATTGTTATTTTATATTTAGGTAAAAAAGTTATGATATATATTATGAAACTGTTAGAAATGAGTTTATTTTTTTACATAGATTTATATTGTATTTATTTATTTATTTATTTATTTATTTATCAATTAATATAATGGATGTTTGAAATGACCAAAACAATTCTTTAATATAACATTTGCGGTACCTTTTAATCATTAATGATTTTTGTAATATAACTTAAGTTATATTCGGTAATAATATACATTATATGATAGATCAGTATATTTTCACTTTGAGTTGTCAATGATAAAGTGTGTTTCTCGTGACTGCACTATAATATTGTTCTAATTGTGTTTTCTATGATTTGTAAGCACTTACTAAATAAATGAAGTAAATTAATCATAAAAATATTTTCTTTTCAATAAGAAACAATATTTTATTTATTTATTTAAATAGATGTTAAATGGATATTACAGTGAATAAGCGCTTTTTAACTGTATAGATTTGTATTCTAAATACCTTTTTAAGATTTGATTTTACGTTAAATATATAGTCATACTTATACCATATTACCATACTTAGTAAAAAAATATAAGAAATAAATTAAATTATTACTTTTAAAACGAATAAGTTTTCCATCAGTTATTATTTGTTCATTATTTTTGTACAATATCATTTCTAATTACTTTATTAGTTAAATATTTACTAAAAATTTAATAAATATTACTATTTGTTAATGTTTTACTTTGAAATATTATTAATGGTAACTAATGAACCAAAATGTTAGACATTAAAATTTACATTTCCATAAAATATTTATTTTTTTCTTTTGCTTCTATATTATCAATGATGTTTTTCAAACTTGATAATGCAAAAAAATGACATCTTTTACAATTGTCTAATGAAAGCCATATTTTAGAGTTTAAATTTATATAAAATTACAGTTCTAAAACAAATAATAATGATATAAATTATTTTGTTAGGTAACATTATTAGCAGTAACTAACATTTTTATTTATATATATTATGAATTTGACTATAATATTACTTATTTTCATAATTTAACATAGATTAATTTTAAGCTACCTTTATAACCATTTACACGATATGATCTGAACTCATTTTACGATAGAGTAGTATTGATTCAAAAGTTAGTAACAATATTGTCATATGGTATGAATTCGTAAAATTATAATAATATTTTAATAAAATAGTAGGTAAAATGGATGCAATATTTTTGATAAAAATTAAATTAAACTACTGTAATGTTAATAGTGAAATAAATAAATTATTAATAGGAATATCAATTAATATCAAATATATCATAAAATATCCTTGGTTATACCTATATACTATAGGTTGACAGACGTGTCCACTCCTAATTGTATTTTGTAAATTATTATAATATATATTTATCATGCATTCGTTATTGTGATCAATTTGAAACCTACCTACTGTACTACGAGCAGTATTCACTAATTCGTATTTTAGGTAATACATTAATTTTTTTATTTACATTTTTTCTAGGTACTCGATTCAAAATGTTTAAATTGTGACCCTATTTCATGATACAATATATTGTATATTATGACCTAAATATTTTTTATTCATACCAATATAATTTATATCAAAAATATTTTTGCAAAGTTGATATTTTCCTTCCTAATTTTCAGATTTTGAATTGGCAATATAATATATATTGTATTTATATAATATTGCTTACTAAAATAATGGTATATGCTTAAAAAATTAGATTTGTTGTTTATGATTCAAAAATTAAAAATTGGTGATCAATATAAGACTTGCAAGTTAATGCATTTGCATGTTTTTCTTTTTAGACTATTAAATCTATTGCTAAGTAAGCTTGAAATTAATTTCACGACACAACGAAAAAATTATAGAGTATATTTTTGCATAATATTTAGTGATTTTATAGTTATAAGAACATATTTTTTAATTTTACCATATTTAATGATTAATGTTATGTTTATAATGGCATTTGAAAATTTGACAATTAAAAAAATAAATATTTAATAATGTATATTTATTTTGAAAGTTTTCACTTGGTGCATACCAAGATACTATTGTATCATGTTTTTCAATTTCTTAGTTGACAAACCATTTACCGTTCTTATTAATAAATATTTTGTACAAATTATAAAATATTTGTATTTATGAAAATTGTGAGTACAAAAAAAAATATAAGAGCATATTTGTACTACTATAAGTGCTTAAGTGCGTGCATATTTAGTACTTTTTAAGTGCATTAAGTTCCGAGTCCTGGTGATAAAGTATCTGTTGTACATATTTTGTATGATAAAAAAAGACATATTAACAGGTACCTACTCTGCTGTACAGCAGCTGTTGAATGAGTCTCTGAATTTGTTGTGTTGAATTTGAATTCAATGATCTTTGAGTACGAAAAACGATTCTGAACGGAGACGGTCTGTCTGCCGCTTATATCATAAAACAATTATTTTCATGTTGTTTTTTGACGTTACTATTAAAATAATTTATTTTACAAGTAGTAATACAATAGAGTGGATTAATTTTTAACTAAAACATTGCACTTCAAAATATCATTGCGATTTGTGCTTATAAAATAAAATGATATTCGTAAAAGTTTTAAGCCTGAATATAATGTTTTTAAACTAGGTAGTAGGTACTAATTTCTTATCCAGATTTAGTAGATACTAGATACCTACTAAAAATATGTATATATAGTTTATTACCACGAATTGTAAAATCTGCCATTACAGTTGACTAGGTATCGACTATCGGTAAATCGAACTTTGATAACAGTGATAATACTTTATACAACTAATAGATCTATTTCACTTTTAGTTCTTTGCTATAAATTTGGATACTTTTGGAGAATGGACTGATGACGATATCATCTCTGAAATCTTCGACATATTGGACTATGATAACGAAGAAGAAGTCGAAGACCCACAAATAGAACCCTGCACTATATCAAGTAAAGAAGCAACACTTGCATAGAAACATTACGTACATAATATATTGAAGAATATTTATTTAAATCAGTCGATTGTTTATAAAATAGAATTGAGCAGAATATATGAAATAAACAATAACAATTAACTTTAGACCAATTCTTCAAAAATAGTAACGTAAGTAGGAATATTCGTAATATTCATAAATTTAAATTTGAATTTTTTTGTAAGCTACATACTATATTTTAAAAATATAAATGAATACTTTTTTAAGATTTTAATAACTCAACATTTTTAGTAAGTCGATTTTTTTTTTTTTTTGTACCCCTTGAACTTTAAGTTAACGAGATTCGACTGTACTTATAAAAATAAATTATCCCTATGTATTTTTAATATAGGTAGGTACTTATATGTTTATAAAAGTCATAATAAGAAAAATATTCGTGGGATATTGACGATATTGCATAACATTTTCTAGCAATTGTAACAGTAAAAATTGTTTACTAAGATTTATAAAAATGAAAATCTTCAAATATGTCTATACCTACGTAAATAAGAGTAGAAGTATTTTGAAAATTTCAAAAATGAAAAAATGATTTTATAAATATCTGATGAAACTTTCATATAACTACGATTATTTAGTGTTTAATTCAAACAAAAAATCAAAAATCGTTTGAGGAAAAATAAGTTATTTTACAGGTGATTAATAAATATACACTGCAATGTTATCAAAATTTCAACTTTAAAAACTTATTGGTAAAAAATGTATGTTATCTTCTGATAAATTTTTTTTTATTAATAGTAAAAAAACTTACGAAGAATGTAGTATTAAACTCTTAAATTTTAGATTTAAAAAAAAGTTTTTGAATCATTAATTAGAAAATAATTTTAAAATTTTCGATTTTTTAAGAATTTAGTTAAAATTCTAATTTTAAATTTTCATAAAAAACCCACGTAACATCGAAGTTTTAGATTTGTTAATTAGTAAATAAACAACTTATAAGGAATATTTAATAAAGTGTCCAAGCATTTTGACACATTTTTTTTTTTATTAATAGTTATAAAATTAAATTTAAAAAAAAAAATGGAAAATTTAAAATATCACTTTATTATATTATTCAACTTTTTTTTCTAACTTTGCCAAAAAATTTACGAAAATCGTTAACTTAGAAGTTGCAGTGGTATTATCGAATTTTGATTTTTTCTTACGTATTATAACGAGTAAGCACAAACATCTGTGCAATTAAAATTTGCACTATCAAACGAAAATCACCTAAATGAGTGTCTTGTAAAATCACGATAACCATGATTCTTAACTTGTTAAAATACATTTAAAAGTTTTAAAATATATAAAATAATAAAATTCACTTGTTAACTAAAAAATTAGTAATTAAAAAACTAGTAAAAATAGTCGAAGAATTTAAAAGTTGAATGTCCAGTTTACCTACATTTAGCACTATACTATCATACTATTAAAGAAATACTATTTAGTATTTACCTATATAAGTACTCATCAGACATCAGGGTAACGAAAAAACAATTATTTATTATTTTATATCGTGTTATATATCCAAAATAAAATGTTATTGAGTGCTTGTTATGGAAATGTTGATGGATTTTAATATAATTCGATATAGCTAGTGATGTGTACCTAATATGATAAACATCTGTATTTATTTTAAATTCAAATCAGAGAGAAGGATGTATTTATCATATAAAATATGTTTATTTGCTTGATTATGTACACATGATAATTAAGCTTAGATTTTCAAATTTGAGGGTGATATTTGGTAGAATATTGAATCTATTTTGTACTTTAGCATTATTTTTTTATTTAAAAGAAATGGTAAGTTTAAATTAGGATAAAATCACATGTATTGTAAACTTAAATAAAGATATTCATTATTTCATTATTTTGTTATAGTTCAAAAATATTTTTCGTAGAGACATAAAACTTTTAAGTTTATTATTATAATATACTACCAAACGTTCTAACCATAGTGTGCTTAAAGTTAAAATTTGTAAGAAATACGCCAAAAATCAAAACGTGTAAATTATATTGTAGTTAAAAATTCATAATTTTTTTAATTAAACAGCTCTAGAAAATGTTAAACAGATTTATCTCATACGTTATTTATGCTTAATTAATATAAAAAGTTTAAAGTTTAAAGTGATGTCATATATATTTTTTATGTGTTATAGAAATTCAAACTTAAACTATATTGGATACTCTTCTAACTAAAAAAAAAAATATATATCCTCATATAATGTTTGTTATTTATAATTTTTCATAAACTACTATTTATAAATCTTTACAATTTTTCACTACTATGTATATTGTTAGTTGTTAATTATTATACACAAAGAAATGTTCAAAAATTTTGATTAGTTTCGAGTTATTTATACTATACTAACTTATTTACATTGTACTACAACACTTTAATAATAACATAAGTGTATACAATTTCCGTATTAGGTATTAATATGATTGTATAGCAAAATAAATAATTCATAAGTGTAATTAGACGTTAAAGTTTAGATGACTCCAACCCTAAAATTTTTCAATTAAGTAAACAAAGTAGACGGCTTTGCCTCTAATACCCCCATAATAATAAATTAATGATTAATATTATAAAAATTAAAATCTTGTCTTTTATCTATTTTAATAGCGAAAAATACATTTGAGTTTTATGCTTGTTTATTATATTTTAAGCGCAGAGTTGAATTTTAATTCTAGTTACATTATTGATATTTTTATTGAATTTTACAAAAATAAAATATAATACATAATTATGTCCTAATAGCAATTATTTCCCGTGTTATTGGATTACCAACTAATTGACTGACATATTATAGTTATTTTAGTTTTATATGTTTACAGAAATGACGTTTGTGTCTTTCTATACATTAAATTAAATTTCGGTTGGAGACCATATTTTTGAGTACAACTCACCTTTGCTAGGGACTGGTGATTTAATATAGTAATAATTACTAACAGGCCGACAAACAATCACCCATATAAATACGTTGAAAAAATTCTCAGATCAACGTACTAAACTAGACAAAGAGGAAGTCGAATATCTATAAGATTATAAGATTTATAACTAACAAGTTAGCCGATCGTCCAATCTTAACAGTCTATGCAATGTGTAATTTTTATTGTTGTATCCTGCAGGTACAGAGTTATTTTCCAGTCGAACAAGCTGTAGGACATTTTTAATTAAAAGGAACATTGCGGGTTCTCACAAACGTAGAGAGATGTAGCTGGATAGTCTAACGACTCTAACGCATCATAAATCGACTGTATCCCTCGATTTTTCCATCATTCACTACTAGAAGAACGCCTTTCTATGCCATATACACATTATATTACATTGATAATTTTTTATTCTTTGGATTATCGGCCATTTGAAATCACTATACATCTTTGATCGTCGCTCTTGACTTACTCAAATACGCGTACTCCTTAGCGTGCTAAATAACGGATGCGGACATTATGATTTAATTATAAAACTACTTAAAATGTTAATTTAATGTTCACTGTTGAGTCTCTAAATCAAGAATAGTCTGCCCAAAGGCGTATTTACGATTTTGGCGGCCTAGGTGCAAAAATATATTGGCCTCCTTTTTTACCCCTAAAAAAAAAGGTCATCAGATAAAAAAAGCTTCTTAAATTTCTAGCGCAGCGCCCCTTTAAGAGACTTACAATTGGCGCCCGTGACGATTGCCCCCTTCGCCCTTTTCCAAAAAAATACGCCTCTGGCCAGCTCACAACTTGTAATGGATAGTTCTATTACCCCAAAAATGTATAACTCTTTTACAAAATATGTTTATTGTTTATGTTTCGGATCCAAATCTAATGAAGGAGTAAGTAATTTTATTTGCAGCCCGCGTGATTATAATGCATTTCTAAAGTAGCCCGCAAGATCATTTAGGTTGGCCACTCCTGTTCTAGATGATGATATTGGGTCGCTAGTGATCACGGATCTAACACGAGAGACAGCTGACGCACTAACCGCCTGCAAGTCGTTCTGTTTCGTTCGGTAAAAATCGAATGATTTTAATAATCGAAAAAAAAAATCGATAATCAAATTATTATTAGTAGTCAAAAAAAATAATTGAATAATCAAATGATCAATGAATAATACACGCGAATGATTCTTTCGAATTAACATTTAATATTGCTTGATATACATAATTATTATAACGTTTACATAAATGATCGAATTATAAACTATTAGTATAAAACTTTGAAATATTTTTTCAATGATAGTATGTTAGTATACAATAGTCAAAACTATTTATCCAGCTTCCGAGTATTGACTAATATTAGTAATAATTATACATCTTTTATGATGTTAAATAAATGAAAATTTCTAATTTAGTACTTATCGACCTGAATCTAAGTGTAAACTTACAAATATTACAAACCTGAAAAAATATATTTATAATATAATCTTTTATTATTTAATATTTATTCGAGTTGATTCACCGATGATTGCGATTAATCGAACAATTTTCAAATAATCGAATGATTCCGATTATTCCATTCGATTATTCCTATCTTTAGGGACGATAGAACATTGAGTAGTTGCAGAGCAGCGCTGTTCACGTATGCATCGTTTATTTCTTTGTTATCGATGACTTATTTATTAAAATATTTTTTGTCATAAATCCAAGTTAAAAAAATTAAAATGTCTTCAACTGCTACTATGGTATATGTTCTGCTGATACTTTCTATACTGAGCAGTAGGTTTTTCATTTACAATGTGATCGTCACTTAAAACTTTTTTAATATCAATATTGTATCATATATGTTTTAGTTATTTCTGATGTTTATGGAATCATTTTAACCCACACTCAACTTTCCGAAACTTCTACCGCATCGTCGAATGAAAATATCACTAAAGATGTTTACTCTTGGACAAAAATGGATAATGTCAAAGACGAAAATAATTCTAGCCTCAATATATCAAACTACGAAGAAGGTAAAAAAAATCTGACACAATTTTATTATTTAAATATTAGCTAATATTCGTTAGACTGTTGATCATCTTCAGATATATACGTATTAGCACTTGATTTTGATTATACTACCATATAATAAAATTTATTTATTGCTTATTTAATAATATTTTTGTTTACATAACATAGTTAAAAAAGCATTTTTAATCTTCTTATCATCATTTGAGAGTTTGAAAGTATTTATCTTAAGTACCTTCATGGTGGACGATATAGTTAAGAATTATACCATTTGTCCAGCAATTATGTATAGTTCTTAGTTGATAATTAATTATTTAAAAAAATATTCTATCCATTAGATCCATTATTATAAAACGATGTATCTGTAATAAACACTGCAGTCAAGTGGGTGAGGTTGTAAATATACAACTGCAACACCCCCTGTTAAGCCTTTGCTATACTATTACTCTGTTTACCCATTACTTGCGTTTATTCGTATAAAAGATTTAAAAACTATGATTAATGAATCGAATTAAGCTTGATATAGTAGTATTTTGTGTGTTTTAGCTCCATATTTTTGTCTTTTCGTCGATAATTACTTTTTAATGGTTAGGTATTCAAATGGTATAGATAACTTAAAAAACGATTTCAATTTATATAAAAAATAAGATCTCTGTGAGGATATTTTTCTTATAATACTTGTCGGCCGTTGAACATTTGACTCTGTACCTACGTTCGTGTATAGTTAATTAAATTATTTTATAGCGATGATTAATAAACCAAATTAAGGCTGATATAGGAATAATAATAATTTTGTATTTATATTATGTAATAGCTCGTTTACATTTTTCTCGCAAAAACCACAACATGTTTTACAGGAAATATGTATCAATCGAAAAATCAAAATTTACAACATTAACATTCTGGGGAAATCGTACAGTCAATTTTTCACTCGCACAAAAAATATTCATCAAAACTAAACTTATGATTTGTTTAAGCCATTTTTTTCTCACTCTGCCAAATTGTATTCTATTTTAACTTAAATAATGATTTCAGTCTATATAAAAAAGATAAAAAATCATCTATACCTACGTACTAAATGTTGTTCGTTTAAAAAAAATGCTAGTTGAACAGTATATATCGCTTCATGTTTTAATAATACAACAGTCGACCATAGATAAATGAATAAATATTATGGTATTTCTTTTTTAGTGACGCACAGTTCACCAGACTTAAATAATTTGACATTTACTCCTTGGTATAATACGTTTGCGGTTGAAAATAACGTATCAAATACCACTGACGCGCCATTAGAGGAAAAAAGCACTTTTATAAATTCTTCGACGATAATATTAACCACAACCGATTCTCCTAATATCGAAAACGGTTCTCATAATATGTCCAATACAGAAGAAGGTAAATCTTATATACTTACTAAATACTATTCATTAAAAAAAAA